ATGAAAAAGAAAAGAAATTAAAAAATTTGGAAACATTTTTAACATACATATTAAAAAATAATAAGTATGATAAATAAGAAATATTTTTATTAATGATTTAAATTGAATGTAAAACTTAAAACCAATTGGAAATAAAAATATTTTCCTATTCTCTCTCACTAAATCCTATATTTAAGATATATTTTTCTCACCATTAAATTCTTGAAATTAAATCCACAATATTAATTTTAATAGTATAAAAATAAATATTTTGAAAAGTAATTTGAAAACAAATCCATTTTCTTTCCTCCCAGTGGTGGGCAAACAATTCGATCATTTAGGGTCAAATGGATTAATAAATAATTCCATGATTAAATAATAAAAAATTTAAAATAAATAAGTATGAAATGTAAGAAGTATTTTTATTAATGATGAAAAAGGAATGTCAAATTTAAAATCTACCTAGAAATGAAATGATGTCATAGTTAAATAATAAAAATTTTAAAAATAGAAAATACAAAGAATCACAAAAATTAAAAAAAAAAGAGAAAATTTTGAGCACATATCTAATGTTATATATTTATAAAAAATAAAATATTGGGTACATCTCTAATATTATGCATTCATTATATTGAACAAAAATAAGTATTATACATAAGAAAAAAAAAATAATGATGGAAATGTAATACAAAATTTAATGTCAACCTAGAAGTCAAACTATTTTTCTTTTTGGGTGGTGGGTTAGTGGTTTTGGTCAAATGATATCATAGACAAACAAAAATAAGTGTGATAAGTAAAAATTATTTATATAATGTAAATAAAATATATAATTTAAAGGGAAAATTATAGTCAAAGCCGATTTAAAATTAGGTTTTATGTTGGTCCAGAAACCAACAAAATTCTAACAACCGGCTCTACATTTTAAATTATAAAATCCCCTACCATGTCATCAGAGGCTTTTGTGGCTATTGACAACATGGGACTCTTAATCCATGTTGGACACAAAATAAAACCCTATACCGAAAATAGGTTTTCAGTTTCTCTCCCACTCGCTCTGTCTCTCGATCTCCCTCCCTTCTTTCTCACTCTCGTAGTCATCTCTTGATCTCCCACTCTCTTAGCTTTGGTATGTAGCCAAATCAAAACCTCGGTTTCTCTCTCATTCTTTCTCTCTCTCTCTCGAATTCTTCTTCCTCACTCTTCCTTTCGGTTAATATCTCCTCCCTCAATCTTTATCACACTTAGTCTTTCTCCCGCTACCTCTCTCATTTTATTTTTCTTACAAACTTTTATAATATTAATTATACCATATAAAAGAACTAAAGGGACCAACCACTTATACAATCAATTTATAAATTTCTATCAAGTTGGTATAAATTTCATAGCCAAGAGTTTCTTGTGAACTTTTATCAAATTGGTGTAATTATTTTTGAACTATACCATGTTGGTCTCATGTTTTTTTTTTTTTACGGTCTGATTAATATCATATAAGTGTGTAAGAAAGTAAAAAAAAAAAAAGAACAAGAGGAGTGTGAGAGAAACTGAGGGAGAACAATAGATTGAGAGGGATTGAGGGAGAATGATAGGTAGAGAGAGAATGAGAGAAATTGATAGAGAGAATGTATATACAGAAACCGAAAACCATTTTTATTTATTTTCAAATCACACAGTCATTGAGCAGAGAGAGAGAGAGAGAGAGAGAGAGGATCTAAAGAAACTAAAAACAATTATCTTATTTTCCAATCACCCAGCATTAAAGGGCAATTTCAGTATAACCTTTTTGTTGTTTCCAACATGGATTAAGAGTCTCATGTTGGTAATAGCCACATAAGCCTCTGATGACATGGTTGGGGTTTTTATAATTTCAAATGTAGAGCTAGTTGTTAGAGTTTTGTTGATTTCTAGACAAACCTGTAGCCTAATTTTAAATGTACAGCCGGTTCTGACTATAATTTTCCCTAATTTAAACTTAATCTGAAAGCAAAGTTATTTTCTTATCTAGATGGTGGGTCACTTATTCAACTTTTCTAAGAAACCAATGATGTCATAATTTAATAATAAATATTTAAAAAATATATAAAACACCAAAAATGAAAATGTACAGAATTTTGTCAAAAACATTTGAGAACATTTCAAATGTTATATATTCATCATATTAAATAAAAATAATTGTTAAAATAAAAGTTATTTTTATTTATGTTAGAAAGGGAACACAAAATTTAATAATAATAATAATAATAATAATAACAATAATAATATTAATTGTTATTTGGTACAAGCATTTAAGTTTATTTATTTTTAATCATATTGTTACTTTTGTTAATTTTCAATTTCTATCATAACTATGATATATCTAAAATTCAAGTAATTAATATGAAGAAAAATTTCTCACGTGCAACGCATGTGCTTAATTACTAGTACATATAAAATAATACAAAATACAAGGCTTTGCATTCTACATATTTGTATTTGTACTCCTTCCAAACTGAGCCTGAAGAATTTTTGCAGTTGCAAATATAAATAGGGATACACCATAACTCAACCATAAAGCTGATCACTGGGTGTTTTGAATCTAAAACATATGGGGATCATGGGAAATCCATGTTTTATTGGTAGTTTCAAGAAAATGCTGTGTCTATGGTCTTAAGAGATGCAATTTCCTCATGCTCCCCCTCACCCCTTGTAATAGAATAGGATCCATCTGATACCAATCCTATTATAAGCCCAGTCGGATGTCAATCCACTGCTTTTTGTCTTTTGTTGTAGAAGCATTTTAGATTATTTTAGTGATGGCAGTATCTTTCATTCCCTCTTTTTTTTTATCCACGTTTATTTTTAAGAAAAAAAAAGTTGGTCGAGTTGCTGTGATTTTTCCACCATTCAGAAAAGATTAAGTGGCTAGACTTCTTAAAATGGCCATCATGGATTTAGATGTAATTGATTTACATGTCCACTTATAACCATGGACTTGCAGAAAGATCTCCAACTGATGGTTTCTCGCTTAGATCATTTCTTTGTGTGTTTTGGGTGTCAAGAAGATAGGGGGCAATCTTCAAATGGATCAGACAAGTATGTTCATTTGCCTCTTGTGTGCATGGGAGGCAAAAGCAGACAGTCCACACCCTTGCTTTGGCATTCTCCTAACTGAAGAACTGAACATAAGAGGAGTCTATCATGTCAGTGGGACCATAAAACAACAGGCTTGTGGCCTTGTCTTCTCTTTTCATTAATGCAACTGTGGACCATCATCTCTCCCCTCCAAAGACGTCTAACTAAGGCTGCATTTGGCATTTTTGTGGTTAAAATGCCCCTATGAAAACTGAATTTCCTAACTGTAGAAAGGAGATAAGTCCTCAAAATAAGGAATTCCAAATGCAGCCTAAAATGGGATAGAGGAAAGAGAATAAGTTCAAACAATCTACTTGTAGTTGTAGATACTCCAGCCACCTTTAAACCCAACTGTAGAGAGAACTTATTTCTTTTTATTTTTATATTATTAGGAGAAATTTGTGCTTCACAATAAATATATCCCCAAGTCAGTACAGTTCAAAAACGCAATTGGATTTGAAAGTGACATCTAGATGATACCAACCATATAATCAAAATATAGGAAGAAAAAATGGAAAAGGAAATTCTAGTGTAGAGTTTACCTACAAATGCTTCAGTTATTTAATCTCAAACAGAGTAGTAAAGACTCCCAGCAAGAAACTTAAGAAATTTTTTTTGTGATATTGACAAACAAATTATTCCCCTAACAGATGATTAAAAGTGGAAAAAAAAAGGTTTTGATGTAGAAACTTTGAACTGCACCAACACCCTTACAGTTGGAGAGCATGTAGATGACCATGGTTGGTGGTCATACCAACCCAAAGTTAAAGCAAATGCTTGTTGAGGTGAAAGGCATGAGAAGAGAAACAGTGACAGCCTGGTTAATGGACCCCCAGCCTAATTCATCATATTATAACTCACAAACAACCATACTCCACCAATCTCTCCCATCAACTCATCAAGTCTGCCAATGGGACCCATCACCCACCATGGCCGGCCGGAGTTACTCCCGGAAGATTAACTTTCATCCTAGGACAGAGAATTCAGGATTTGTATAACTCTAGCATCAACTTCAGAGATGTGGCTTTCCCTGTAGCTTCATAGTAAGGCGTAATTATAATCTAATTACGTTGCGCATCAAATGTGAGAGAGACAGAAACTTATCCAAACTGGGTTCATCTTACACCAAATCATCATTCACATTCTTCCACTAAATAGAATCAAGTTACAGATAATATAGACAAAATTTTTGTTTTGTTCTTCTCTGTACTTTGAATCTACAGCGTTTCCAAAGGCATCATTCTGTTAATTAATTACATTAGTTTGGAGAGCAATAATAAAAGATCCACTGGGGAAGGGTCAGTCTATCCTTGAGAGTATCTATCCATATCTGATCACCACTACGTTGATTTAGTTATTTATAAATTTCTTCTTTCTGAATATTTTAACAGTAGATGCCATTGTAAAGCTTTCAGATTCAATGGGCCTAGTCAGAACCTCACCATTGCCAACCTGGGCTTCTCTGGTTCCTCCTCATATAAAAACAGAAAAGAAAAAAAAAAAAAAAAAACACAAGAAAGAAACAGGAAAAGTTCTACTGTGCTTCATTCCCCTCTACAGTTCAAGCAGATCAAGAGTTTCTAACGTTGGTTGGACTTTGAAAAGTATAGATGCTAAAGATGGTCCAGCTGATGCCGGATTTCAGGGTTGAATCCAGCTCAAAAAAAAAAAAAAAAAAAACCCAACATCTTAATTTCTTAATCATCAATTAGACTTAAGAGACTGTAGACCCCTACCAACTTGATCTGACACCGCACATCTTACTAACTGGGGCACACCATAAAAGTGGGACCCATCATGTACGAGATGTCTGGTGTCTGATGATATTGGTAGGATGTTGGAATGTATTTTGTTGGCAGTTATTCTATAAATTACGCAACAATGGCGTTTTAATAGTGGGGACCCATGTTCAAGAACTTTAAACTTTTGTCCAACTGCAACAATAACAGTAACAGAAGATTGGTTAAATGACACATAAAAAGCCTCAATGAATTAATACTACTATTTCTAAATGGTAAGGTAATGTGCCCAACAAGGTTGGACTTGGACAGATGGTGGTGTCAGAACTCCTCCCTCCTCCTCTTCCACCCATCTTCCCTTCCATGTTCATCACATATTTGGTGTTACGATGTTTTGCACCAGAGGATGCAATTAGCTCTACAATTTTACAGTGGATGCTTGTAAGAATTCTCTGAAAGAATCAATTACAGAAATGATAAAAAAAAATAAAAGAAGAGAGAGAAAGAGAAGGAAAAAAAAAGGAAAATGTTCTCTTGCTCGGGCCTATTGATCAATAACAGTTCAGGAGCTCGCTTGGCGGCCAGTCAGAATGAGCATATCTTTTATATACAAATGCCTCATTCACTGGGGCCTGGATGGAATTGAAGATCTATCAATGGTTATCATAGCTCAATTTTCATGTGGGCAGTGGGTAATGATCCTGCAAAGGACCAATTTCAAATCAGGATTAACAAATTAAGAGCAAGCCACATCATTGGTTTTGTTGTTCTTTTGGAAAAAGAATATCCAAGGATTTATTCTGATCTTACCATGGAAATTTTGAGGATGGAATGCTGTTTGGCTCTGGTTTTGTCCAAAACCCATCTGAACAACACTTTGGAGGTCGTCCTCCCAGAATGTTGAAATCTGAAAATTAATTTACAGGCAGAATGAGATGATGAAGAGAGTAGATAAAACTTGTCAAGGGTGACCTGCCAAAATCTATGTACCTGAGGAGCACTTTCTCCAAATCCATTAACAGGGGGTAATTGCATGCCAATGTTTTGACGAAGCGCTGCGTCTAATGGGTTCGCTGAGCAGTGTGTATCTGTGACGTTAGAAATACCACTTTGAAGGGGTAGTCCTTGCCGAGTATGTTGGCCAAAAGGGAAGGTTGAAGCCGAGGAATCTAATGGATAAACTGTATGTGGTAAAGAAGCCCGTGATTGAAGTATCTGCAATTCCACAAAAACTCAGTTCAAGAATTTCCCAGTTGACAGGAACCAGGGAGAATGGTGAATAAGAATCTTAGGAATTGTCCCAAGTTATCAACTTACATCCTTTGAAAGTAGAGATTCCATGTTGAAGTCCATCCTGGGGTTCACAGTGGCCAACTTCATGGACAGGAACTGCAAATCAAGAAAGATTTACATGTTAACTTGATAGGACCCAACTCAAAACATGAAGCTGAGATAAAAAATGGAGGTTTATTAATTCTTCATTTACCTCAACTTGTCTCTGCAGAGACTGAACATAATTTATAATTTCATCTAGCATAGTTGCTTTACCAGTAACCTACAGTGGAAATTCAGGTTCATGTTAGAATCAAAATACATTCTTCAAATAGGCTTGACTTAAATGTATGTACTAAAAGAACTGTAGCTTGACATGTTCTCTGCACCTTATTGCAACCTGGTACAAGATCTTGAAGGAATTTCATCCGTTCACTGATCTTCTCTCGTCGTACCTGTAAAGCAGGGAAGTAGCGGTCGGCCGGGTTAATAAAGTTGATAATGTCAGTGTTAAATTATTCTCAGAGAATTGCTTATTATTTTACCCTTTCGGCAAGACTATGGCTGTCTGTAGCTTGGCCTCTTCTTGCTCTGACATGTATGTAGTCCTTTGGAGGCTCTGGAGGCTTTTGGGTCTCTTTAGATTCTTTTTGATCTGCACCCATTGTAGTTTTAGTACTCCCACTTGGTTCAGGCTTTTCCTTTACTGAATTATTTTCATTGTCAGTGCTGTCAGCTAATTTGCATTTCTTTGCATTAGGGTCCTCCTCTGCTGCTGCCTGCAAGGGAGAATTTCGAGAATTCATACTTTGCTGGAAGAATCAAGGGACTGGTTTGAGAATTTTGAACAGAATTCACACCTTTGCATCCTTCCCATGGGGAGATGATAGTGGGAGCTCCTTTGCTTTTCCTCTGGGAGCTGCTTTTCTTTTTCTAGCATTGGCATCGTTGGAGCCTTTGAAGCTGGAATCTCCACCTGGGATCTGATCTGAAGGCGACAATTCCTGGGCATTTGCAATGTCTTCTCCATCCGGGGATCTCCTGAATTTCCTGTCTGAAGCCAAAGCTGATGCAGAGGCTGATCTCAGTTCTGTCTCCACCCCGTTCTGCAGGGAGGGATCTTTGTTCTCTTCACCACCCAAATGGGATCCAGCAGCCTTGAGAGACTGGCTGCTGGAGACTCTTGAAAGCTTCCCATTTTCCAGCCTTGGTGCTGGTCTGTAAGGGAGTTCGTTTTCATTGAACCGGAATTGGCCTGGTAGTCCACGGAAACTCCCACTGCCAAAGCAGGAGAACCTGGCAGCCCTTTCGACAAATCCAGTATCAGCCAAGAAGGAGGCCAAACCAGGATGGGTTGGCATTGAATTCCCCAAAATGGGTAAATTTCCCCTGATTTGATGATCCATCATGGAGAGATTAAGCTTAGGTGGGGAATTCAATGGGGTGCTGTAACAGGAAGTGTTGGTACTGTTATTCCCCCCGGTGTAAGAAACTGAACTTCCTCCTAATGTCTGTGACGACGGCGAGATATCGCCGGAGTTCCCCATGTTCCCTAATCTCCCAATGAGTTCTCTGAGGGCGAGGGGGTCGGAAGGGACGGTGGCATTTGACGCTGCAGGGGAAGAAACCATCGATCTCAAGGCGGATTCAAATGCGCTGTTCTGATCCATTGGATTCTCCCAATTGAGGTTGACGTAGCAATTGGGTATCTGCTCTGAAGAACAATTCAGCTCTCCAACTTGAACCTCCATGCCAGAAGATGAGGAGTGCCAGGTTGGGGGTGGCGATGAAGGTGAGGCGGCATAGCTCAGGGGAGGTGGGCTGCCTGAATTCATGAAGAGCTTCTCCTTCTCCATGAAAAACTGACCCAAATTATACAAAAAACGGAGGCAGGACCAAAGAAAGGAGCCGAGAATTCCCTAAAATTTAACGACCCAGATGAAGAATCAAAAGCTTATATCATTGTTTTCACCGGTTAGCCAGACAGGCATCCAAATGGGTTTGTTTGTGCAGAAAAGTATAAACTCTGAGAAACAAATGAGCAAGGATGAAACAGAGTTGACCTGACAAAATGTGGTCTAATTGTTCTTCTGTGGGAGCGTGAGCAAAGTGGGTAAGACCGTAAGAGCAGAAGAAAGGCTGTGGAAAAACCAGAAAAAAGAAAGAGGAAGAGAGGAGCAAATGTGGGGATGGGGATGAAGAAGAAAGTAGGCTGAAAAGGAAATTGTTTGTTTGACCTTTTTAATACTAATTCTACAGTTTCTATTTCTTCACTTTGTTTCCGTCTGTAAGAATTCCGTAATCGGCGGTGGGTGGTGCCGGGCCTTGAACGTCAAACCAGCTAATGTCCCCTCTTTCGCAGTGATCACAGTCCCTCGGCGATGAAAGCTGAGAGAGAGAGAGAGAGAAAGAGGTAGGTTTGAAAGCTTTTCTTCCTTCCTTTGATCTCTTCTTCTTCAAGGGAAAAAAGATGGAGAATAAAGGTTGATGGGTGTGGTGGGGTTTTAGCTTTCCCTCTAGTGGCCCAAAACTGAGCTGTTTGACATGGGGAATCATCAATGATTAATGCAGAGAGAGAGATGAGACTGGTTTATTTATTTATTTTTATTTACTTTTTTCGTTGCGCCTATAATTTTTTGCTAGGCCCACTTCTTAGTATATGGCAGATGAAGAGGAGAGAGATAGAAAAAGAGAGATACATTTTTCTTTTTTTTTCCTTTTATTTTCTGTCTATTTTTAGGTGACTGAGTGCAAGAGAGAGAGAGAGAGGGGGGAGGGGGGGGGACAAAGAGTGACAAATTATAAAAGAAAAAGGTTTGAGATGAATGATAAAAGATGGGGTTCTCTTGTCCTCTTACCTACTAATTTAGTTTTCATCCTATATTTAATCTGCCGTTTTCCATATTTTTAATAGAAGGTTCCTTTGGATTGCTGTGTCTGTGCACATGCCACAGAGTAAATTTCTTAGTTGGGTCTATGCTTGTTTTTATATAATTTTTCCTTTTTTAGGAGAAAATATTTGATCATCACTAAAGGTACCAAATTTGGTCCTCCCTCCTATCATCACCGTGTTGACATGAATCAATCAAAGAGAGACATCATGGTCCCACAAATCAAATGGTTTCTGTTCTCTCAAATCAAGTGATTAATTATCTCTAGCATCAACAATCTTAAATTTTACCTTTTTTACTGCTTTTGTTAACTACTAAGTACTAATTACCACTTACCAGGGTTAAAAAATGGAGGGCCCCACAATGATTGGAGTCAAAACAAAGGGATTGATGATTTTAGTAAAAACGTCTAAGTACATCGAAATTCAACTTTTTATTGGTTGGGTTAGTTTTGAAATACTTCAATTTATATATATATATATACATATTAATTTAACTCGAGTCAATCATTGCAATAAATTCTATCCAATTTTATCCTGTCCGCTGTCCGGTTAATCCGGCTCCGGTCGGGTTAACATCGCGGTCAAAAAAGTCTCAATCTCTCATGAATTTCCCTTTCTCTCTCTCTAGAAATTCACACCTCGCCAACCAGAAGAAGAGAAGAAAAACAATAACAATTTTCTTGATGAAAGACAATACCATGTTGCCTATGTCACCGTAGTAGGGTGGACCCAACAAAATGTCTACTCTTGTCACCATTGGATACAGCCAGGGGTCCAGGATCATGAACAGATTTGCAAATCTTGGATAGAATACAATAGTGGGGTGCTACCAAACTAGGCTTTTCAATGTGTTGTCTAGGGATCAATACCCGAATTGATCTGGACCATCCGAACAGTCCAAGAGTTGCACCGACCAGATGATCACAATCGTCCAATTTATTAACCTAGATTTAGGTTGTTGGTCAAATTAACTTTATTAGGTTACTTAGGTTAGGGTATGTCCACCAAATGGAAAGGGGTACCAAAATTCATGCTTGGGAATTTTTGTTTGACAAGAGATTAAAAGGAAATTATTGTTAACCAGGTTAATAGATTAGGTATGTCTACAGGGTGGAGTGCTCAATTTTCTTAGCCTAAGCTCTCCAGGTTCAGATGGGGAATTTTTGGGTCAAGCAAAAGCCTTAACATAGGAGGAACCAAACCCTAGTAAGAGAAGGCATTTGAGGTTATTGTCCCTAATTTCCAACAACTTTCTCATTAAGACAAAAAGAGAATTGATGACTTTATATGATTTTAGACCCAAAAGGAAAACTAAAATAAATATATCCTTTCTATGAATGTTGAAGAAGGTTGTTTGGATACAAAGTTAATTTTAAGTTTTTGGTTACTGCAGCATTATATAATCACTTTTTCAAAGAAAGGGAGGGGACAATCCATCAGTCCATATAGAGCTATCATGGGCTCATGGTAGCTATTCTGCTTTCACTTTTAGCCTTGGTCTAAGAGTAGGGAAGACAGGGAGAAATGGGTCTAAGTCTAACTCATTCAGGCAGGCTAGGGGGTTAGCCTGAAGACCTTCTCCTTTTCAATCAAATATATGATAATGTAGTTTTCTATTTTTATGGTAGAGCACATGAATATTAGAAGGGCTATTCTAGTTTACTTGCCAGACACCCTTTATGAAATGAAAAAAAGGGGTTGAATATATCAGAACTAGGTCTCCAAAACTGAGAAGCAAAATCAGGTTTTGATCCTAACCATTCATTTCTTCTATCACATTCTTTGGGAAGATCACAAAAATGAAGGATAAAAAACCCACCCTTATGGCTGAGAAAATATTAGTCCTCAGATCAAACAATTAGAATCTTTGAAGTTTATCTTAGTGTTTCTTTTCTCCAAACCTAGTAATCACTGTAGCATATATAATAGTAACTAAGACTAAGAGCAAGTTGAGAAATGAGAGCATTAGGCCCAAGACACCCTAAGTGCAGCTAAATCTAAAAGAATCAAAGTTGTTAGAGAACCATGATAGAAATTTAAAGAACATCCATTTTACCCAAAAATAAACTAAGTATAGGAAATCCAGCTAGGGTCATGATGTAGAAGATGTTTTTACTATTTTGTGTAATTCATGAACCTCATGATGTTGCATATTTAAAATCATGCATGACCTCATAATAAGAGAGTTATAAGAGCTAATTTGGTTGCAAATTAATGGTATCTCTCTGGAATTTAATTATTCTCTCTTATATAAATTCAGGGTCCGTTTGATTCGTAGTTGGAATCGGAATCAAAATATTTTAGAATCTAATTCCATAGCCTGTTTGATTCATACAAGAATAAGAATAAAAATTAGAATCAGTAGAAATGGGATTTCATTCCCAAAGGAGGGGGAGGGAATGGCCATTCCTTCAAATGGAGAAATGCCATTCGAGCAGGAATAGGAATGGGACTCTGATTCCTTTCCATCCAATTAAACAGCTAGAATCGAAATAATCCATTCTGATTTTGATTCTAGTCCCCTATTCCTACGAACCAAATGGGGCCTTAGTTCCAATCCAATGGGACCAAATTAGGTTCACATTTTTGCCCAAACAACCGAAGTAGTGATAAACTCTGTTGTTAAAATGGGAAGTCATTAGGTTCACATTTTTGTTCCTTTTCTACAATGCAAGGACCTTTTAACTGTAACATATTGATTCTCGGATTCCTCTTGCTTGTCATAGAAGAATGTGCACCTCAACTTCAACTGTTTCCCACACATTGACCCCATTCGAATGATCCTTTTCAGAGTACAGATATCCTTAATGTTAGGCCACAAGTCTTTGTCCGAGCCTACCATATCTAGAAATATAAGAAACTAAATAATAAGAAGCTCAATTATGAAACAAGAGCCAATAGATTGTATTTTAGCTTTTATTATCATTTTTTATTGAGAAATTACAATATTTTTGGGGAAAAAGTCATTGAAAACCAAATATTGATCTCTTTTCCCTTTCCATTTTGTTGGCCTTTAACTGTAACAATTTACTGTTTAAAATGGTTAATTATATTGCTAAGGTTATGGGCATAAAGCCCATAAAAAAAGTGGGCCTTTTTTAATAATTTACAGGGTCAATATTTGAAATCAATTTATTTGTACGCTCATATATATCTACAATTATAGACCACACTAGTACAGACATCTTTATCTTATTATGTACATAATATCTTATTGATTTAAGGACTTGAGTTTGAAGATTTTTTATGTATACATCAAACAATGGTAGCAGACCATTAAACTATTAGGGGGTGTTCGTTTTTAGGATTTTGAGAGGGAGAAAATGATCAAGAAACCCATGTTCTTTTTTTACATTTATGTAGGGATCATAAAAGTTTATTTTCATGGGTATCACTTATTCGGATACCCATCTCCTAGATGGGTAAATTAACTTTTCCATCTAGAATGGGATAGAAATGCTTATTTTGATAATAGAATTTTTATGGCTAAAATGGTCATTATATTATTTGCATGGTAAATAAAAGAACATTGATAAATACACTTACATGGGTAAATGTTTCCTGTAATTTACTGAAAAGCGAATGGAGCCTTAATGGAAATTGATCTGACATGAATTACAGTGTAAGCTTGTTAATAAGAAATTAGGCATAATTTTTTTTATAATAATATTGATATGAATGTGTGAGAATCGGAGAGACATTTGAAGAAATCTTGGCAAGAATGATTGACAATGTCATGCATGTTTCAAGCCCTATTGCCAGTAAGGATTAAGAGCAGCAGACAAACATTCTAACAATGTGAGGGGATGTATTCCCTAACTTCTTTTGACCAGATGGCAACAATCATGCAATGTATTTCGTAATGCCTTATTATTGACAATTCCCTTGCCAAAATCATCTGATCGATTTCCTTCACATGCTCACAGAATTATCGCCGTGAAACCAGTGGTTCCTAGGTGTCCTCTTTGCCTGGATAAATTAATTGTACTTTCATAGGGTAAAACTAGAATTATATTCATCCATTATTCACCATCTGAGAAACCAATTGCCCACAGAAAGGGGAAAGAAGATTAGTAAGATAGAGCCCAGATTATTCGTAGATCGACTTTGATATAAAGATACCTGTGGCTGTGGGGAGTGTCTCTTAGTATTGATTATTTGTGTTTCCAATTTAATTACTAAAGAATTTATTATTGTATTTTGTTTTTGCTTGCTCTATAATGCAGCTAGCAAAGATATGGATGAAGAGCTCAAGGATTGTTTGACAAAGATTCTCCTCCGTACACTGAGATGTGATTGGCTTTATTATCCCCACCACATATATGAGGTTGAAAAGGATCGATCTTGTGTAACATATGAATCACAAGCGTCGTTATGCGGCTGCTGTAGTACAGAAGGCAGGACATTGGAGAAAATCATGGAAGAGTTGCAACAAGAAGAAGTAACACATTTCTATGGTATGTACCATATGAGTAATTTAATAGATAAAAGTATTATATATAGAGAGAGAGAGAAGGGCATCCACAGAAATAGCTGGAACAAAATAAAAGTCAATCGGATTCACAGGCTTCTGAAATTAAGCCTCGGGAAATCTGTCCCTTTGAAAATGACTGGGAAGCAATCATGCTAAAATGGTGGGTCCCAATACTGAGAGGATATTGCAATGGACCTAACAATGC